AATAAGAATGTTCAGTAATGCAATCCATGTATAATGCAGAATACAATATAATTCCTTCTACTTTGTACTTTAAAGTCACAAGGATGACATCCATGTGATAATTATAAAATTTACTCTACATTTTTGAGTTCTCAATCCAAACATATAGATTAGGACAGGTCACTTTATTGCTGGAAACATTCATGGAAGGGCCAGGTTCCTCATAAAGACARTAAGTTTGATTTGGAGTTAGGCAGTGCCCTACTCACATCAGCAGAATTATAAGGAGTCAAGAGGCAATCCTTTCTTTCCTTTTAAAGTAGCAAAGGAACAACAGAAGATTGGCTGACTTGTCAGTGGCCCCACATTAGAGTGCATAGCTCATCAGGATCAAGGCTGGCATCTGTGTGAACAGTTAACTTCATAAGAGCACACTGTGGGCATTACAGATTTCACCCTGGRGTATTTGAAAATACTTTATGCTCAGTTGACAGCCTGCAAGTAACAGTATGCATTCCTTCTCTKGAGTACCCAAGTATAAATCTAAAATGAAAAGGGGGCTTATTCAGTCTGAAGGCAGAAACTCCTTGCAGCAGTGTTTCCAGAATTTTTCAAAAATAAAGAGCAGCTAACGTCTCTTCAGCTTCTTGGCTTTTCGACGTTTCATTTCTTCTTCTTCACGTCTCATTTCCTCTAAGTCCTCTTGCATACCTAGTCTTAAACTGTTGGAAAAAAGTTTAAATGGTATTTGTCAATATACATGAGATTACCACTTTAAAAATCAAAAAGTGCAATTTCACCTGGAAGCTCACATGAACCCTGCTGATGTTCTCAAAAAGCCTCAAGATTTTATCTCTGAAAACATTTTTTTTAACAAACCCAAATTGTAGAAGAAAAAAATCTTACAACAACAAAATGCCTTAATATTTCTATCAAAGTAATAAAATATAAATTTATTTCAAAACTTTTTAAAAATAAAGAACAAAGATGATTTACTCAATAACAACATTCAAAAGAACACTTTGTCTGACATTTTATCTAGTTACAGAGGGGGAAAGAGTTTTAGTTTTGTGGGTTGAGACTGAAGTGAATTATTTACTAATAATAGATAATAATAATAATTATTAATTAACACTATAAGTAAAGTAATCACAAGTTACCCTTACTGAAAAATGATCATTAGTTTACTATTTGGTAGCCAAACAGGAACCAGGTAGAGGGAATCTAATTTACTGCTACTGGGTCCTCAAAGCCAACAAAGTTAGAAGTTAGTGAGAATGAATCTGATGGAGGAAGAAAAGCACAGCATTTCCCTCATAATATTCGAGGCCTCTAATATTTACTGTATGTTACACATGTGAGGCATGGTAAGCACCTTATACTCATTGTCTTAATCTTCATAATACCTCAATGAGTAAAATAGTGTATTCAAATTTTACAAATGAGAAAACATTTTAAAAGGTTGTGGAAAAGTTTTAGGATATTTTTGCACAAATGTGTTAAGTTTTATGCTTACCTCTTTGCTTCTTCTTTCTGCTGCTCTTTCCAACTACTCTCCATGTAACGTAAGGCATAATCACTTTCATCTTTGTATCTGAAGAAAGTTGTTGARAAAAATTAAAATTTCTTAAAAAATTACATCCTCTCACTTGGAAAAAATCAAACCTTTATAACTAAATCAAACAAATTTAGGATCATTCCTCCTTGCTTAGCACTTCTACAATAGGTAGAAGTAAGTTTCTACTGCAAAAACAAATTAAATGAGCACTTCTTCTTCTTTTTTTTTTTTTTTAAGAAAGAGAGAGAGAATTTTTAATATTTATTTTTTAGTTTTCGGCAGACACAACATCTTTGTTTGTATGTGGTGCTGAGGATCGAACCYGGGCCGCACACATGCCAGGGAGCATGCTACCGCTTGAGCCACATCCCCAGCCCCGCACTTATTATTCTTAGAAAGCAGCTATTCCCAACTCTAATGTTAATGAAGGTACCAATCCAACAATGCTTCCTCAATTCACTCAATTTATATTAAAATCCTGAAAGCACAATATGAAAATTATTTTATATATGTGAATCTCATTTAGTTTCATGACCATCATGAGGTGGCACAGGACTTTAGGACAGAAGAAACTAAAGAAGTTTTATTAATGGTTTGACCAAGAGTTGATAGCTAAGTTACTGACAGCACTAAGATTATATTTTTATTTTTTTAAAGAGAGTCTCCCTATGTTGCTCAGGTCAGCCTCAATTAATGATCTTCCTGCCTCAGTCTTTTAAGTACCAGGGACTACAGGCTTATGTCACTGCACATGGCTCAGATTAGATTTTTAGATCTGATTTTTAATCTAATTCTTCCACTCTAGTAATTTTTTTTTTAACTTTTCTCATCTAAAAAAAGAGGTAGCAAGTACTAATGTAAGGATTGTGCTAGGCTTTATACCCAGCTTCTCAAACTTTAATGTAATTATATATATATGGATGATCTGGAGACCTTATAAAGTAGATTTGGATTCAGTAAGACTGAGGTGAATCCTTAGAGCTCATATTTAACAAGCTCTCAGGTGTATCAATGTTATTGGTCCCACACTACTGTCCATGGATCACACTGAGTAGTTAAAAAAAAAAAAAATTTAATATTTTGTTTTAGTTGTAGTTGGCTGGACACAATACCTTTATTTTATTTTTATGTGGTGCTGGGGCTTGAACCCAGTGGCCACACGTGCTAGGCAAGTGCTCTACCACTGAATCACAATCCTAGCCCCTAGAAGTAAAACTTTTTACACAAAAGAAAAAAGCAGGTGTCAGATCAGGGTGGATTTCTAACTTCAAAGCCATTTGTTTTCTTTTTAAAAAAAAGTCTTAGCCATCTTTGTCTACAACCTGAGATATGAAAAATTGTGCTATATGTGTAATATGAATTGTAATGCATTCTGCAGTCATATATAACAAATTTTTTTTAAAAATGAAAAAAAAAAATCTTAGCCATTTCTTCTTTATTTCCTTCTTTTTTCTTTTCCCTTTTCTTTCTTGGCATTTTGAAACCCAGGGTGCTTTACCATTAAGCTACATCCCCCCAACCCTTCATTTAATCTTCTCTTGAGATAGGGTCTCACTAAGTTGCTGAGGCCTGAAGCCTGCTATCCTCCTGCCTCAGTCTACTGAGTCATTGGGATTAAGGCATGCACCACCACACCTGGCTTTAGTTGGAAGAGAAATTTAGAGGCTGAGATTAAAGTCCTGTACTTTGGGCTCAGCCCAAGGCCAATCTATTTCTACTACATGTTCCATTTTCCTTAAATATATATAAAATAACAGATTGAAAAGAGTATTTTTTTGGGGGGGGGCCTCATGCAAATAACTAAACTATTCTGGATTCTAAAATATTAAGTGCCCAAAGGGTAATTCTATTCAAAATAACTATCACCCAAGGCTTTCCAATTAAGCATTACACTCAGTGAATCTACTATTTATTTCTCCCTTATAACATGAATTATTAAAAATAAAAAGTATATCACATTTATCTAAATCTTCTTTAGCCTTACTTTTTTCGGTCATAGCCAAAGATTTCTCGAATGTGCTTTGATATTTCTTCCTGAGGTTCTCCTTCATCTTCAATGAAATCATCCATTTCAGAATCATATTCATCATCATCTTCCTCCTCATATCCTCGCTGCCTTTTGTAACTAGTAGGGAAAGGAAGTCTTTGAGGACCTAAGAAGAGAAACCATTATTTAAAGGAACATTAAAACTTTAAATATTAAAATATTACCACCCAAGTTCTATGTAATTTGAGATTCTGAGAAATCATTAAGACAGTATTCTTAAAAACTAGAGCAAAYAGGCTGTCCTTCAGCATGGTATCCTGAAGGAATAGAATTTGCTTGTCCCAAGTTTTTTGCCACTATGGATCAAACCCCAGCCCTTTTTCTTATTTTTAATTTTAAGATAGGGTCTCGCTAAATTGCTGATGCTGCCCTCAAATTTATCGTTCTCCTGCCTTAACCTCCTGAGTCACTGGGTTTACAGGTATGCACACCATGCCTGAATTATCCCAGATTTTATCAGAAATGTCTAATTATATTTTCTAGCTTAGCAGTGTCCATACGTCTGGGATTTAAAAGATCAGTAAAATACCTAAAGATGAATAAATAAAAGTTACAAACTGTCACAGAATCATTAACTTTTATTTTTGCCAAATAAGATAAAAGGAAGCACCCTTCTATTTTTGATCACCATAATTTCATTAAAAAATTTTAAGTCCTATATGTACCTATAATATCACAGGACAGAGGATTTCTTGAATCCAGGAGCTTGAGGCCAGCATGGGCAACAGACCAAGACTCCATAGCAAAAAACAAAAATTCAACAAAGTATAAAAGATTCTCAAAATAATTTTTCAAACTGAGTGACTAAACTGACTATAGGAAAAACTCACTCCATTACCTCTTTTTGTCATTCTGCCAAAAGACTCATTAACATCTCTCCTGTCTCCAGATGTAAAAATAAAAAATGTCTCCAGACAATGTGAAATGTCTCCTTGGGGGAAAAGTCACCTGTTGAACAATCAATGACCTAGCTGAATGAGGAAAAAAATATATATTTTTTTCCTGGTATTAAGGACTGAGCCCAGTAGCACTCTACCACTATGTTACATCCCCAGTCATTTTTATTGGGTCAGGATCTTGCCAATTTGCAGAAGCTGGCCTTGTGTTTCTTCTCTCTATAATGGGTAGTATCAAAGTCTTAACCACTGGTGCTTTAGGAATCTGCTGTCCCAAGGTGCAGAATCATTGGTTGCATCTGTTAGCTACTAGGTTATAGCTGCTTCATGCTAACAGGCATTACTTTAAAGCATTTGTTAGGCACTGTGGAGACTAGAAAAAGAAAACAATGATGAAATTCCTTTAAATTTTCTAATTCAACTGGGCACAGTAGCACATGCTTGTAATCCTGTAATCCCAGCTATTCTGGAGGCTGAGGCAAAAGGATCACACAAGGACAGTCTAAAATAGCTCCACATAATAGGCTCTTAACAAACTTTGATTCAATGAACAATGCACCAAAAGGTTTCAAGATTACAATTACCCTTGATCCCCTGAAGACAGGTCTCTTAAGTGTTCATGAAAAGATTAATTTAACCACTGAAGCATATAAGGCATGTGCAGCCCCCTATCTCACAAATCATAAAGCAAATTTACTGTAGCAGTTAACACAGATAAGTCTCTTTTCTAAAGACTTTTCCAAATCACAATCATTAAAGGAACAGGGCAGGCAGACACAGGACAGACAAAACATTAGGATTCCATCACTACCAGAGTACATTAAAGGGCACATGGAAGAATTTGCAAGGTCCTTGATTATATAACACAAAGTACTCTTTCCAATTTCCTGGGGAAATTGAGAGGCAATTTTACCTTGGGCAGATCTGTAGCCAGAGAGAGCAGGTTTCATTCCATTTATCTGTCCATTGCTGGTTCGGCTAATAATATTCTTGGAAGATATTGTTT